CCCTGAGGAGTTTTGTCTGTGAAATGGGGAATCACTGATGAGTTAAACAAGGCAACAAAGGTCTGATATACATTTTTAAAGTCACCTTCAGGCTCCTATATGAGGATGAAGCTTTAGGGGTGAGAGTGGGCAGGGGATGTTGGTGCCAAAGTCCCAGAAGAGGGGTGACGATGGTGTTTGGGACTGGAAATGGCTGTGACGACAGTGAGGAGATGTCAGATTAAAAGAAGATGTGGTGTCTCACACCTGTAATCCCAGCACTTTAGAAGGTTGAGGCGGGTGGATCATCTGAGGTTAGGAGTTCAAGACCAGCCTGGTCAACATGAAGAAATCCCGTCTCTACTAAAAATACAAAAAAAATTAGCTGGGCATGGTGGTGGGCACCTGCAATCCCAGCTACTCAGAGGCTGAGGCAGGAGAATTGCTTGAACCCAGGAGGTGGAAATTGCAGTAAGCCAAGATCATGCCACTGCACACCAGCCTGGGCAACATGAGCAAAGACTCCGTCTCAAAAAATAAATAAATAAAAGAACTTTTTGGGCCAGGTGCAGTGGCTCAGCACTTAGGGAGAGAGACAAGAGAATGGCTTGAGGCCAGCTTTGAGACCAGCCTGGGCATATAGTGAGACCTTGACTCTACAAACAATAAAAAATAAAATTGAAAAAAAAAAAACCACAAGGTAGGTAGATCTTGGAGGAAGAACCATCAATTCAGCACTGGCTGGGGAGGGCCTCTGGGCAGGGAAAGCAAGGCTTCCCGAAGAAGCTTTGGATGCGGCTGAGAAAGTGAGAGCAGTTTAGCTGAGCCAGGAAGAGGGGGCTGGAGTGGGTTAAACGCGCAGTGTAGAAAGAGGAACTAAAAAAAGCTCAGTTTGGGATAGAGCCCGTTTGAGGTCCCTGTTAGACCCTGAGGTGAGATGCAGGGAGGCAGCCGAATACACAATCTGGGCAGGGACACACACTCCACGCATTAACCCCAATGCCTTGAGCTCCATTGACCTGAAGAGATAGCCCTGCTCCTGTCCAGCTGGCCCCTGACCTCTGGTCACACTGGCCTCAGATCTGTGTCTCCTTTTCAAGTCCCTGGCCCCCAGGGCCACTGTCCCTCGGTCTCCACTGGGTGCACTGGAAAGGCAGGATGAGGTACGAGAAGCCCCATTAACGCCATGAAATCACCAGGCACAGTGGCTCATGCCTGTAATCCCAGCACTTTGGGAGGCTGAGGCAGGCAGATCACAAGGTCAGGAGCTTGAGACCAACCTGGCCAACATGGTGAAACCCTGTCTCTACGGAAAATACAAAAATTAGCTGGGTGTGGTGGTACATGCCTATAATTCCAGCTACTCAGGAGGCTGAGGCAGGAGAATTACGAACCCGGGAGGCAGAGATTGCGGTGAGCTGAGATCGCACCACTGCACTCCAGCCTGGTGACAGAGCGAGAC